TCGACTTCGTGTCGAATACCTTTATCCTTCGGTAATTCGCACGGAACAGTTTCAGGGAATACATCCTTGAATTCAACCAAATCTTCATAGAGAGGATTTTCCTTGAGCGATTCCCATGATTGGGACTCATATCGCTCAATTCGTGTCTTTTCATCTAGGACACTCTCGTCCATAGATGAACTACTGAGAACTCTCTCGTTCTCAGTAAACACTGTTGCTGACCTTATGTCGGTTACATACTCGTCTTCAGCGACGAGTATGCAGATCTGCTTGACTTTGCCACTACGCAGATCACGCAAGAATCTTTTATGTTCGAGCGTTGGCAACTGAGTGATCTCCGAAGTTAACTTCGGAGGCGCAATCAGATCAAGTGTATAAGCGCCTACACATGATCCGTTATTGCCTATGACATTCAATGTCTCTGTCATTTCCTGGGGACTTATTCCCTCAGGCTTCGAAGGACTTATTCCTTCGTCTTCCCGGGGACTTATTCCCGCGGGTTTCGGGGAACTTATTTCCGCCGTATTTGTAATCTTGGGACTTATTCCCTTTACTTCCTCTAGCTGGGGTTGCGCAACCACAGCGAGATCCTCTACGAAAGACTCTCCAGTCGATCTAGGATTATCGTTTCGCTTAACCTGAGCGATCGATTGTTTCTCTTCTAGATGTTCCCCTCTAGGGATACATCTTTGTCCCAGTCCACCCGACTTATTCGAGTGGTGGACCTTCGGCGCAGCCTGTGTTTCCTCACAGCCGCCGGAACTTTGCTCCGAAGTGTAACCGTTTGGTACACTAAGGTTTTGTGCAGTCGTACTAACGACCGTACCACAAGTGAGGCCATCGCACTCACTCGTAGTACATCCACACGCTTGTGGACGCCTCCAAAACGTTCATCAGATGGCCATCTGATGAACAAGCGGCAGGCATCGTTACTGTCCGATGTTGCCAGTTTACCCGTGGTTCGTACCTTCTGAGCCACGGTATTCCAAGGATGACATCAAATTTGTCATCCAAATCCAATACGATAAAGTCATCGTCGTATTGGGTATCTTCTAGCGTATAGTGAATCTTCACTATACGCTTCATGACGGTTACGGATGCGCCTGTCGCAAGACGTACCGTCATCCTCGTAGGAGGTGTGTCACATTCACTGAATTTAAAGTGACCATCTTCTAGCGATTGGCGTCGCACAAAATTGTTGGACGCCCCACAATCGACTAGAGCTCGAAGGGACAACTTATTCGTCACTTCGAGTTTCAAGGTAATGAGTGAGATCTCATTACCTAGAGCAGCAACGCACAATGTCTGTGTGTTGGGAGCAACCTTCATCAAGAGGCCTACAAATTCTCTTGACGTTGCTGGATCAGTAGGGTGCTCCGCACCTACTGATCCTGTCCGTTTTTTGACGGTCCATCCCGTTGTTGCGTCTTTGCACCAACTGCGGACCCTCGTCCCTGCCCCTTTCTCATGGGTGGACGGTCACTACGCCCAGTGTCGCGAGACACTGGACGAGGGGCACTACACTCGTAAGCGTAGTGTCCTGTCTTTTGACATCTGTTGCATCTCTGCAACTTCTTGTAGCCTGTAGTGCGAGCCTTCTCGCTCTCTACATAACAGAGTTCCATCGGCTCTGGACCTCCGTTGTCATATCGTCTCGGTTGACGATATGATGTCGAGCTGGCGCGAGCCTGTCTCAGACTGAAGTCTTCCTGCTCCGCAATTGAAATGGCTTGTTCTAGTGAATCTAGTTCAAGCCGGAACAGGTGAGTCTTGACGGGACCATCCGCAAGACCCTGCATGAACACCGAAACCAACGTGTGTTCATCCACCGGATTGGAACTTATACAACTCGTGAGATGTCGTATATGTTGAGCGTAAGCGTGCACATCACGCTTACCCTGCTTGAGCTTCAAGAGTTCGGTTCGAGCTCTGAACTCAGCTCTAGGCGGTTCAAACGTTTGTCTGAGCCGCGACTTGAAGACTTCCAACGACCCAAACGCATATGGGTCGTGCAGCTTGAGCCCCAGTGCCCAAGTCTTGGCACGTCCTGCCAGATTTGACTGGGCAAATGCAACTTGCATATCCCCGTCGTCGATGCGACGCGCCCTTATGGCGTCATCCAATTCGACGAACCATCTCAAGAGGGAGTCTTCTTCGACCCCCTATACTTTGAGATGTCAATCTTCAAAGTCTCGGGCCGACGCGAGTGCATCGACCCGCCAGCAGCAGCCTGCTGCTGTCTCAACAGTTCAAACTGTTGAGCACCTTGTTCTCTCAACAACTCTGCTTGTTGAGAACCTTGTTGGTGAAGCAAGGCTACTTTCTCGCGTTCTGCGTCAAGTTCATTTTGAATGAACTTGGCGATAGTAGCATGTTGGGCATCTCTATTGAGAGCCTCTAGCATGACGCTAACAGCATGGATGCCCATGGTCGAACCCATTCGTTCAACCGCATCCCATTCGACATCGCTCAAATGGGAGTAGCCGTCACGCGTAGCGTGAAAGCTTTGGTCATCTTCATCATCCAACATATTCATGTTGGATGTGAACGCGGTCCTTGGACGGACTACAAAGTGCTACCAGGTGTAACGGGGCACCCTGAAGCTTGTACTGGTGACAGTACAAGCTACTTATTCTGATAACAGAATAAGGCGGTGCCTCGTAACTTCACGTACACTCGTACGTGCAGAGGAAGACGGTAAGAAGAAGCGAGTACTTGGTTAGAGTAAAAGTAGAACTGTATTTATAATAGTTAATGTCTGCAATAAATCACTATTTATCTTCATCTAACTATGTCTAAATACAAATGTGTAAATCAGTTATCTGCTCACCACTCATTGCGTGCGTCTGTCGTGGCGCGTCTTCGTTGGTTGATATAATGGCCTATATCAACCAATTAGGAACTACTTGAAGTGCTACAGAATATTGTCCTTATGACAATATTCTGAGAATATAACTCTTATAGTTATATTCTATTAACAATTTCTTATAAATTGTTATGTAACGATTCACCCCGTTACATCCACTCCCCTACTACCATTCTAGTCACTCTTAGTGACTGATTCCACACCCCCCACCCCCTTAACCATCGCTTTCACTAAATGGATACTCGTCCCAAATCATTTGGGACGGGGTTTGCACTTGTTGGTCCGCGTCCACTTTCCAACATCTCATCGCATGGTAAACAAGCCCATGCGATGCGCGAGCAAGGCCGCCGAGAGCGCGTCTGCACGTCTCTGTGCGGACGCCGAAGCAGAAACTACAGCAACTGATGTCCCATCGGTTGCTGAATCGACTCAGCCTGTATCACCTGGTGATGCAGGCGCTGGTCATGAAGACACTCGTGTCTTCACAGAGTACGAGCTCGGTGTCTCGTACTCTCCTGATACGGATGACGGATCCGTATCGACGGCAATTGAATCCAAGCCGCCTGCCAAGCGTGGCATGGACGATGCTTTGCGTCGCAGCATCTTTGGTTCATCTGATGAGTCAGATGAACCATCGCCGAAGCGAAGGCGCTCGAGGTCGCGAGACTCGGGCGCCAATAGTGGTGTCGTTTCTCCAATGGACACCACTTCACAGCGAGGTGCCAGTACTTCTGTCGGCACGTCGCAGGAAGAGCGGGACCGCAATGTGTTGCGTCTCGCTCCAGAAAAGAAGGCATGGATGCCTCCTAAATTCTGTCATGGATCACTTGTCGGCGACGACGAGTGATCGTTATCGAACACGATTGTTCGATTCGTCAAGGATTCATCACTTTGACCCCAGCGCGAAAGACTATCGCGCTGAACATGAGTTCTTCATCGATGCTTTCTTCAGACATCGATGGTACAGTGGGAATCACAAACGTGATGGTCCCTCACTACTTCAGGCGTGGAACGCCTACATCCATAATCTCGAGGATGTAGGTCGTGACGCTTGGAACGACAAACTTATCAAAGCTCGTGATAAGTTTGAAAAGCGAACCCCGACAGGTGCACGCTATAAGCTGCATCGTCTGTCAAGGGAGAAAGGATTACCCTGCCTCTCTTGGGGAGACTCGTGCCCATGTTGTGTGAACAACTCTGCACGAGCACCTAAGGAGGCTTACCTCCTTACCAGCCCGTGGTGGCGCGTACGTGTCTCTACTGAGATGTACGAAGGGATTGACAACCTGAAATCCCTTTACGACCGTGCCGGGAAGACTTTCTCCGGCGGTCCTTCTGCGGCACAGGATGTGTCGCGTCGTACTGCTCGACCAGACCCAGTACGTCAACCATCAATTGGGAGCGGGGCTCCCAAGAATCCCAGGACGGGGGATAAGCCGCGCCACCGGACGAGGTAACTCGTCCGACGTCCGTTCACGTCGCGGTGGTTCAACAGCTGCTCTACTAGATAGCGCTGGCCACCGCGAGAGTCCTCTAATGGAGGTGGAGGAGGAGGAAAGACGCTCTCCACACGATCATGTGGATCGGTGTGTTCCCGAGAGCTTTTTGATCGCGTAACGCAAGGGTTACGCGACGATCTCGAGCATGAGCGGAATAGGCGTCTCCAGATGGTGGACACTGCCTCGAAGCATCGAGCTGAGTTTGCCTTTGCTCAGCTTGAGAACGAGAGATCTCTGACATCTTTCGTGACGAGCTAAGGGTAGCTCGTGGGATTGTTGATCGGTCTCGGGCTGAGATAACTGCTCTTCAGACCCTTGTTGATGCCCACTCATCGGGAGCACAAGGCTCTCTGCGAGATGCTTGAGCGCAAGGGCGTTCTTCATCGGAAGAAGCAGCGTACTGATGGTACGGCTTAAGCCGACCAACGTAAAACGTGGGATGCGTTCGCATCTTACGTGGTAACTCGATCGTGTATGCATTGCCTAGGCGGTGCAATACACGAAATGGGCCAATGTACTTGGGTAGTAGTTTACTGCTACCCAAGTTAGTCACTACATGTTTTGGTAGATTAACCGTAGACAGTAGGACTAAGTCACCTTTATTAAATAAAAGAGTGTTTGCCCTTCCATTCTTGTCAGCGTTTTGCTTTTTGCTTATCCACCGCTTCGGCGATGGAGTCTTGCACAAAACGGACTACCGTTTCACGAGCCAGTATGAACTCATCTGATGACTCGTTAGCTTCAGTGTGCTGTGAGCGCACTGCAGCGACAACAACCTTTTCTTCAGTGAGGGCTTCCGCACTCTCACTGGGATCATTGTCTTCAGTGAGGGCTTCCGCACTCTCACTGGCATCATCTTCTTCGATATCGATGTTATCGATATCGGCATCAAACGCAATGACTTCTTCGTCAGAGCGTGATGAGCGTGAACCAAATCGGTTTTTGCTCGCGCGAGTCCCTCCCCTTAAACCAGAGTTACACTCTAGTAAGGTGGGTACACGCGGATGGCGCAAGCCATTCACGTAAAACGGTGTATGTGTCGTGGACGCATGCACCGAGTTGTTGATGGCAAACTCTACCATCGGCAAAAACTCACTCCAACTCTTAAAGGGAGTGTACGTATCCTCGAAGTATCTCTTCAAGGACACGATTGGCACGTTCCGTCTGACCATCTGACTCTGGATGATCAGATGTTGACATCTTCAAGCGCGTTCCGAGTGATTTGAACACGGAACGCCAGAAATCAGCAGTGAATCGTGGATCTCTGTCTGATACGAGTTCACGGGGCAACCCATGAAGTCGGAAGATGGTGTCAATAAAGACACAAGCACAGCCACTTGCCGTGATTGTCTCTGGTACAGCCACAAGGTGTACCATTTTGCTGAATCTGTCAACAAATACGAGAATACCCGTATTCCCGCGTGCGTCTTTGGGTAACCTGAAGACGAAATCCATTGAGATGGATTCCCAGCACTCAGCCGGAACCGGTAGAGGCTGTAAAGGTGCACGCAGTGAAGGACTTGACTTCACTCGTTGGCAGACTTCCGCATGCGCGAACATACTTTCGCACAAACTGATACTGGCGGGGCCAGTAAAAGTCTCGACTTACCGTGAGATATGTTTTCTCTCGGCCACGATGTCCTCCTATAGGAGCATCGTGATACTCGAACATGATCCGCAAACGCAGATCAGTATCATCTGGAATGACAACACGTGGTGTGTCACCAGAAACGGCTGTATAGTACAGTAAACCGTTACGAGTAGTGTATCGATCTGATGCAGATCGATACGCAGACGACAATCGTTTCAACGATTCTCGAGATGGTTGGGAGAGATGTGACAACAACTTCACTATCTCACCATCTTGGGCGTATGCCCGCCTCACATCATCATACAACGTTGTAGATGGAACTGAGGACGTCATAACCGCAACAGTGACTGTCTCACTGTTGGGTTTCGCGACTGTTTCAAAGTCGGGACGACGTGAGAGTGCATCAGCGACGACATTAAGTCGTCCTGGTTTGTACTCGACCGTAAAGTTGTATTCTGCAAAGAATGACAACCACCGCGCCATTCGTTGTGAAAGGTGCGGGCTGTTCACTGCCGTGCGTAAGGACGCATGGTCAGTGTAAACAACGAAGGGTCTATCTCCTAATAGATAGACTCTGAACTTCGCGAGTGCATACTTCATGGCAAGGAGTTCCTTGTCATGCACTGGATAGTTCCGCTCAGCTGGTTGCAGCTGACGCGACTGATAGCAGACGACGCGTTCAACGCCTTCAAGGTCGTACTGCATTAATGCACAGCCGATTGCGAAATCGCTGGCATCACAGACCACATGAAATGGCCTGTCCTGATCGGCTATTGCTAGGACTGGGGATTGTATCAAGCTCTGCTTGATACCCTCAAAGGAGCGTTGACATTCAGCGTTCCATAACCACCTCTCGTTCTTTTCAACAAACGAGAGAGGTGTACAGTCATCTCGGCGTAATTGCGTGAATACTTATGCAAATACGCCGCTAGCCCAAGGAATTTTCGAAGACCTTTGACATCGACCGGCACGGGCCAGTCGGTGATCGCCTTGACGGGCCAGTTTTCGG